AGGAGCTCTTGCTGTGGTATGAGGATGAGTACGCCAAGGAGCTGGGCATCACGTGGGACTACCTGTGGGACAGGAAGTCCAATCCTGCAGGTGACTGTCAGGGTCATATTCATTGTGATTTCCTAATTAAAATATATATTTATTGTCATTAATATATGTGACTTATTTTTGCTCCTTAATTGTTATCTATAGATATTTCTCTCTGTGTTTTTCTTTCCACATGGTTTATTATTTTCTCTCTAATACATTTTGATTTGGCAGTCGTATTAGATAATTTGAGGGAAATATCCGTCACCATCATGATGCCTACTGATTGCAGGAAGTGACATCACTCCTGATAGCAAATCTCACAATATACACAAGCCGTTTTAAAATATGTCTACCTCATCCCCCTGCTCTCCCCAACGCAGCTGGGAACACGAGGGCCTTCCCCTGCACTCAGTGCCGGTTCTCCTTCACGGCACAACTCTACCTCAGCAAACACGTGGAGCGATCCCACCCTCAGAGCATTAAAGTCCGCCCGCGGACAGGAGAGGGACCACACTGCTGCTCAGAGTGTGGCCAGAACTTCACGCTGTCATGCAACCTGAAAAGACACGAGCGATCCAGCCACACCGGTCAGCGGCCTTTCTGCTGCACGCAGTGTGGACAGAGCTTCAATCAGTCGGTCGGCCTGAAGAGACACCAGCAGAGCCACACGAGAGAGAAACCATACCTGTGCACAGAATGTGGGAAGAGCTTCTGTTGGTCAGCGGGGCTGAAAAGACACCAGCGGAGCCATGCGAGGGATGGCCTGTACCTTTGTACCGACTGTGGGAAGAGCTTTATCCAATCAGGAGCCTTAAAGAGACACCAGCAGATTCACACTGGAGAGAGACAGTACCTTTGCACTGAATGTGGGAAGAGCTTCATCTGGTCACACAGCCTCAGGCAGCATCAGCGCATTCACAGCGGGGAGAAGCCATACTGCTGCAGCCAGTGCGGGAAGAGCTTCGTGCTTTCCGAACAGTTGAAGGTTCACATGCGAACTCACACAGGGGAGAAGCCCTTCCTCTGCACCGAGTGCGGAGAGAGCTTCCGCCAGTCAGGGGACCTGAAGCGTCACGAGCGGAAGCACACCGGCTTCAGGCCGTGCCGCTGCGGCGAATGCGGCAAGAGCTTCAGCCGGCCACAGAGTCTCAGGGCTCACCAGCTGCTGCACAAGGGCGAGCGACCGTACAGCTGCTCGCAGTGCGATAAGAGCTTTGCCCGCAATGGACACCTAAGACGACACCATCAGAAAATGCACTCGTGACAATTACCTGCACATGGCTCTGTGTAAACTGTGTGCATGCTGCTCTATTACTGTTCTCTTTCAAGGGCATTTTTATGCATTCGCTGAAGCCAGGAGTTCTCAGTAACCTTAATTTTGTGTTCATATGTGGATTTTAAAGGCATTTTGCTTTTAACTGGAGTCTCACTGTGATTTGAATCCCATTCCCACCATCATAAATGCCTCCTTCCTTTGCTTGTTTTATTTTGAGTCTGCATAAAAAGGTGGCAAAACACCAATCCCACTAGGATGTATTTGATTATTGAAATACAAAGGCCAGTACTTTGTTCCGTGTCAGTGTTTCATAAGCTGATATTTGATCAATGACATCATTCACTTGCATGAAAAGCTTTTCTAAGTACAGTTGACCCTCCAAATCAGTGGTTTCCTCATCAATGGCTTCAACCAACCACAGATCGAAAATATTTGCAGAAAATAAAAATACAGAAATTTCCAAAAAACAAAACTTGAATTTGCCATGGGCCGAATCCACACCAGTGAAGGCATACCCTCCTGTGGTGATGAATGAAGTGATGTGCAGGCACACCATGCTGTGGTGATGAATGAAGTGATGTGCAGACACACCCCGCTGTGACGAAGTGATGTGTAGACATGCCCTGTTGTGGTGGTGAAGTGATGTGCAGGCATATCCTGCTGCAGCGATGGATGAAGTGATGTGAAGACATGCCCCGCTGTAGCGATGAATGAAGTGATGTGCAGGCATATCCACTGTAGTGATGGATGAAGTAATGTGTAGGCATACCCTGCTGCAGTGATAAATTGTAGAATGAAGTGATGTGTGGGCATACCCTGCATCTGTGCTGAACATGGACAGACTTTTTTCTTATTATTCCAAAACCAAAACAGTATAACAACAAGTTACATAACATTTACACTAAGTATTATCAATAATCTAGAGATGATTTAAAGTGTACAGGAGGTTATGTATGCAAATACATAATCAGCTGAATCTACAGGGCCTAAATAATAATATATTCACAGTATATGTGAGAAGGAAAAGTGTGTAAAAGCAGACATTTCAGTTAATGCTGTCCTTTACATACTTGTGTGCTACCAGGCACAACCACGCATGTAGCTTGTGGTCTATAGAGCCCTATCCAGTACACATCTTTGTTTGCTAATAAGTCCTGTTTAGCATGCAGAAGATCTGTCATGAACTGGTTTATTAACATAATAGTTATCAGCCAGGGTCCCAGTCATCCCTGATTGTTTGTTCATGTTATATTTTTCCAGAGTTCTCAAATTAATTGCAATCGATCTTTAGGAAATTAAGCCAGTCACTTTTTTTTTTGAGAATTAAACCTCAGGGATCAATGCTTTAATTTCATTTGCAGGCAGAAGTAGGCTTGATTAAATTGCAGACTTAACATGAGGCCCCTAATTACATTTTGATGTCAATGAACAGTGTCTGACCTTCCAGAAGCAGCTACCGAGGAGGAGCTGCTCTGTGGGACCAGAGATGGCACACCATGGTAGCAGAGGTTTCTGCAGGAAGGGGGGGGATGTATGGAGATGATGGAGTAAAGCATGTGACCTGTGGGACCTGTACAAACCTCTGATCCAGCAAATAATGACAAACATTCAAACAAAATCACCAGTCTGTGCCTTTTCTTTCTGTTCAACAAATCCTTATTTATTAATAATGACTGAATTATGCATCATGAACATGAAAGTTTAATTGAGAATGAAACGGAACAGAACAAACAGATTGTTTTTACTGTAGGTGCCAATTACAGAGGAAGTTAAAAAAAAAAAGAGACCAAAGTTACCTTTAGAAGTTCTTGGGCATGTTTATCGATGGGGGATTAATTTGTAAGCGAATGCCTTTGGATATGAGCAGAGGTTTGGTCTTGGAGTCGTCTCACAATAACACTACCAAGGCATCAGGTATCGATAAAACTGGCCAAGGGAAGTAATTAAAAGTAAAAACAAGGCGGCAACAGAAGAAGCGAATAAGTATGAAGACAAACTTGGCCTTAAACCTCGTCTCGCATCGCTGCTTTGCCGTTCTCTCCTCCCAGAGACGTATGGAACAGCAGAGCCCATCCGCCATGTGCCTTATGGAAGCCTTACTGCTGACGCGCTCGCTGGTGGCACGATGTCACTGTGGAGGCGGCTTCCCGTTGGCAGCTGACCGCGTCGCAGTTAGATGTTCTCCTAAGTGACGCAGGAAGCCACGGGGTCGTGTTCGTCGTGACGAACTGTTTGGTGCTGGGGGGCAGGGATCGGAGTCTCACCATGGCAACTGTCTGGGGGGGGGGTTTCACCGCTGTTCACAACTTTCTCCAGTTAATCCAGTTATTGCTCCTTTTCTCTTCTTAAATTCCCCCATTTGGGGGTTCCAGTTTGTCCCAGCTTAGTGCTTTTTTTCCCCTCTGGGGAAAAAAAAACAAACGTCCAACATAGCAAATGAAAGCCTGAGGCCAGACAGTTTGTCCAGTTTGTTTGCCGAGTCTGACCATGCGACGTGGAGGGAGGGCGGCTGACCGTCCCGCCTCGTCCTCGTTTTCAGCAGCAGCAGCAGAGGATAACCAGAGCTGGTAACGGCTAAAGTGACTGCTGTGTTAAGGGACAGCCGGTTTGCCGTGCTTTATGTGGAAGGGGAATCCGAGTGGGAACACAACAGGTATGCAGCAAGCCACCACACGGACGTGAGGAAGCTCCGGCGACGTGGGGCGTGACCACGCAGCTGCAGTGGCGGTTTGGCCGGCCCGTGGCACCCAGCTGTGATCAGTTTGGTTTAAAGGGTAGGTTTAACCTTTCCTCATCGTAGACCACAGGCATAGGTTAAATTAAAAGGATTTTATGAAGTGACATGTTTGTGACCCTTAATGCAATATACAAAGGCTACACATGGATGCTATTTAATGGGCCTTGTGCGATAGACTGGCAGATTTACACCACTTGTACCATATGCTTGCTCAACTCTAACCCTGTTGTCCCAGTAGAAATGTATGCATGGCCACACACCCATCACACACTGAGCTTGTGTCCTTTGAAGGAAATCAGACAGAGGAGTATCTCCTTGGTTTTAGATATCACTCTAGGAGGAGACCCTCCTGGTTGGACAGAGATAGCCCTCATGTGAAGACAAAGCAGGCTTAGTTAACAGTCATCCATGAGCACACGTGTACTGTGTGCGTCTGTCCAACGTCCAGCAAGTGGGGGGGGGGGCAATGTCCATCTGACCTACTTACATAATCCAGACTACAGAATAAGCATGTCTTTAAACAGATGTACGCAGTCCTGACATTCCCTGGATTCCACCTGATTTTTGTAGGATTTTAGCGGCGGACACTTAAGGCCAAATGTGGAGTGAAGTGAGGCAGGAGGCCATTTGTACAGAAGTAACTTTCCTTGTTGGATTCTGAGTTAGTGGTTACGCAAAAGCCACAGTATTTAAAATCTAAATTTGGAACCAGACATCCAGCAGAAAAAACAACAGTGAATGTTATGTCACAGCACAGAGAACTGTCAGGCTTCATCCCCTCGAATTACAAATGCAGTGTCCACTCACACCCACAGATGTTCCTTATAGTCTGACATTACTGGGGAGGGGAGACTGATTTTTATTTATTTTTTTACTGTTAGCAGTAAATAATGTTATTCAAAATCCAGTAGAAAACAGTGACCCTGACCATTCAGATTGGCACTTTTTGTTAGGGGAGATAACCGTAAGGAAAGTTGCCTCCTGTTTCTAAAACGGAAATAATCTCTTTATATGATGGCCCATCTCATCCTGAAGTATACATGTTGGATTCTTTTTTTGCAATAATTGTTTTTTTTTAAACACATGCTCATGAGAAAAATAGGAAGCAAAGCCATAACAAGTAAAAGATTCATCTAAAGTAGTTTTTCCCAATCTGGTCCTTGGGGAGTCACAGACAGTCCGTGTTTTTGCTCCCTCCCAGCTCCCAAGCTAAAATGTGTCTGACTGGGAGCTCGGAGGGGACATAAACATTGACCAATTGTGGGTCCCTGAGGACCGGATTTGGAAACACTGATCTAAAGGTCTAGCTCAAAATGCCCGTAATACATCGAAGCACATCCATGGTCAGGAAAATGAAACAAGTGGAAATGTCTGCATCTAATCCATCTAAAATCGTAGCTTTAAATATGTAAAAAATGCTTGATCATCAGACTAACACAATCACACTGAAATGTATTATTTTTTTTACAACATGTTACAAAGTAGGAGGGGATTTGCTACTTGCAAGTTTGTTCCTTCATTCATCGATTCCTCCTGTCATTAATGGTTCAAGAATGCAAAGTGTCTAAAACCCAGCCAGAGTCAAGAGTAACTGCAACGAGGCCTAGCAGCGGGTGGTCACTATCGCTGTCTTCTGAGCCTCGGGTTATTCATTACAACCCCAGTAATCCATAAAACGCAAAGGGTTTTGATGGTAAATTGGACATATAATGGCAGTTCACGGTCAACTGAACATGCTAATTGACTATGGCTGGAACAAAACGTCCACAAATCAGGATAAACAGGAAAAAAAAAATTCAGTAGACCGAGGAGCATGCTGGGAAAAGTAGCCAACATTTCCCCGACACTGATTTCCTCTCTGCTGTGAAAACAGGACAGACCTACTCAAACTCATTATAAAAAGTGAAGAAGGAGAGTATTGAGGAAAAGGCAGCAGTAGGTTTCAGGGTTGGGGCTAGAGACACCAACCCTGCTTGAGGAACAGGTTTGCTGGCCACAGAGCATCACCGTGCGCTCAGTGGGGCCTCTCTCTCTCTCTCTCTCTCTCTCTCCGATTTCACCTCAGCCATGCAAGGCCGCCCCAAGGTAAAGCACAACTTACTCAAGCACTTTGGGAAAACAAGGGCTCAGACCTTGATAAATTAGCACTGCTACTCGACTACACGCAATGAGAATGAGACCGTTAGATACTGTGGGTGTTAATTCTCTATTTGTTACAAGTTAAGCGCAAAAATCAAATAATACTGATCTAAGGCATAAACGTATAGACACATTAATGATTTAGCATCCTTGCACCTGTAAATATTCTGTCTCCAAAGTTTCAAATCCTCAAAGTGGCTCATTTGAGGTCCAGACATTTGGAATTTATGCATCAAATTCCCTTATTCAATTCCAGATGTAGTCCCCCCCAAAGGATTTTACACCCCTCCCCCATCTCCTTCCATTGTAACAGTTTTAAATATATATAAAGAATATATACAAACCATGTCCATCCCATCTAATATTTCACATCACTTCTGTACAGACCCAGAAAAAGCCCAACGATTCATTGGGAGGCTAGGAGTAAGGGGTTTTCCTTGATGTTTTCGTCATTAAAACCAATACAAAAGTCTCAAGAATTTACAGCACGCAGGAGTAAACCAGCCCCAGATAGCAGGTCATAGCAATGACCGTGCTGGAGCTGTGCTGATACTGTCAACTCCTCAGACACTGAGGGAGTCCGTACAACTGGTAGGCGAGCCAGCAGCCAATGGCAGCGATGTTCTTAGCTAGTGAAGTCGAAGGAATGTTTAAAAACTAAAACTGACCAATGAGAGCGACGCTTCTCCACACACCACAAGTATATGGATGTAAAAAGGAAAAATAATATTAAGCAACAGAAGCTGGAAGGTTCACAAACACATCCAGAACCGAACTCGAACTCATCTCGTGGGGCACCCTGGGTTAAATGACAGGTAGGAGAAAGGACATCAGACATACATTTCTTAAAAACCCCTTCCCCCACTGCTGCCCCTACCAGCCACTTGTTTTGAAGGACTGGCAATTTATTTATTCTTTTCTTTCCTCTTATCCACCAGTACAATTCAGGTAAAATGACGGCCATCTATAAAAGCGTCTCGCCCTTCTTTAGGGTGCATTAGGGTTCGGGTGTCTTCAGTGCCTCCACCCTGGACTCCAAATCTGTTATCTAAGGAGGAAAAGGCACCTGTTAGAGGCAGTAGGTCCCTCATAGTTGCATCACGTCAGGCGGCATCTAGTGAATGGGCCATAAAATATATACATAAATTCATAGCAGAGCTTTTGGGTGCTTCGGTGCATCTGCCAAGAGGAAGAAAGACTGCTGCAGAGCCATGGTGAGCCGATGATGATACCCAAAGGTTCAAAGGCTCTGACCATTGATCTATTCTGATTTAGTCTTTTCTGTATTCATGCAGATACTTAATTCTCATATTTAATGGGTAGAGGTGCCATTAAATATACAAAGCTCTGTACCAAAAAAGTGGTATATTTTTTGTTATATGATAAATTATAGATTAAATTCTAACCAAGTGTGTTTTGAGTTCTCTAGGTAGCTGACGTGAAAACCTAAGTATATTTAGAAGAATCTAGAGTCAGCTGGAGTCGGCTTCGTAGGCACTCTGAAGCCCTGCATGCTGCTGGACCTAGACCAGCCCAGACATACTTAACATCAAAAACCTTCCCATAAACCCTTGACATCAAAAACAAGTCCCTTAACCCCTCAAGCATGTGGGGTTGCCTTCGTCCTTAGCCTGGGGGCCTCCTCCACCATGAGTCACAGAGTCACCTACACGATGATAACGTGGTACAGTCTGGGCCGAGACAGAGGCAGCCAGCTGGGTCTGAGAGCCCGCAGATGACCGGGGCTGAGCGGCCCCCCACACGTTCGCCCACGCGGACACACACCCCACGCATTGCCCCCCCAGTCTTCACCTGATCCTCCTCCACTACCTGTTCCTGCAGCTTCTCTGCTTGCTCCTTGTGGGATGCCTCTGACTCCTCAAGGGCGCGACGCTGGGCGGTCTCCTTCTTCAAGAATTCAATCTCCCTGAAATGATGGAGGGTAGGGGAATAAACAGACATTGAGGAAGACCTGGATCAGGCCAGGTACTGTAGATCTCTCCCAGGCTCTGGCACCAGCCGTTGCCATTTATCCTTTTAACCAAAACTTCATCTATCCGATCTACCCACTAAAGAGCATGCAGCTATATACAATCGACATCTATTCAAAGCCCGTCAAGGCCAATTAAACGTGGTGTGTAAAGGCCCACGATGTATTGCAATATTCACAGGATTTCCCCTTCCCTAAAGACCTGCACAATATTTATTCCTGCTATTCTCATCTGCACAGAAGGAAATGCACAAACCCTATGAGAATTGACTGGCTGCTGGTAATTCAGTGATTATCAGCATGAATGTTAAGGTTAAATTATCTCAGCAGTGTAGAATTTGCAAGGAATAAAAAAGCAAAATGCCCGCCAGCCGCCCCGCCTGCACTGCCCCCGCCTGCACTGCCCGCACCTGCACTGCCCCCACCAGCTGCCCCGCCAGCCGCCCCGCCTGCACTGCCCCCGCCAGCCGCCCTGCCTGCACTGCCCC